CAGTGTCTAGACTTCTCAGATGCTTTAAAAACAAAACTCAGCAAACCCTGGCATTAGTTCTGAGAATCCTAAAAGGCTAAGTCATTATCACTGCATTGTAGCACATGCACCGATATGAAGCCACAAATAGCTGCTAAAGACCAGACTGTGAAATCCTTCCTCATTTAATACACATAGGTTCGATATCCTCTAACAGGATTCTGCAATTTAGCTCTGATTGTGACTGAAAAGCCTTTGTGCCTCTCAGGAGCATGGACGTTAAAGAAAAGTAATCTTTGCAACAGGTATATGTTTATATAAAAATAAAGCAAAACTCCAGAAAGCAGCATGTTTGCATTGCTTTTTAGAAGGTATTTAATTTGTGTGTCGAGCAGTCTTCTTCTAATCACAGCTGTGCTATTTGATAGGCAATGACACCTGTAAATAGAATTGTACTTTAGGGTGTCTTTTAATAATATCTATTAAAGAGCTCCAAAATTCAAACAAGGCATGTGGCCAGAGTCTTCTGATGGTTTAAACTAAGTTTCAAGAGGCATTTGGTCTTGCAGGTGTTGCTTCTGTTCAAATGCAGCCACAAATAGCTGATCTTGGAAGTGTTTGCAATGCATTACAGCTGAAGTTCCTTGCTGAGTCCCTTAATCTGGGCCCAGGAATGGCAGAGCAGAGACGTGCAAGGGCAATTAATAAGCTGTACCTTATTCTTTATGTAAAGCTCCTGCAAATTCCCTTCAGGTCACTCAGTTCCACCTTTGGTGTGAGAAATGGTGGAAACCAGATAGAGATATCCGCCTTCCCTCTTTGTTCTCTTCCCACTGCCTGCGCTTTTATGGGTTTAGTGTTCACTGCAGGCTCCAGAAATGTCTTGCTTGAAGACAAGCTGGGACACCCCACTGTTCACAGATCTGTAAGAACTGATGTTGCTCTCTGAATTAAACATTATCGTTCCCACAGTTTCATTTTCTCCCTGTCTGCCCGCCTTCTCATCCATTTGTTACCTCCTTCTCTTTAACTCTTCCTCGTCATGTATGGTGATTCTCKCAGTGCAGTCATGGTGTAAGTGTATTTTACTACTTTCTCATTTTCCAGCTATATATTTGTCATATACTGCAAGCATTTCCCAAAAGAATGAAATATCACAACAAGGTGTGAGCAGAATATCTCCTGTATGAAATAAGCTAAATTGGTGCCCTGATATGTGAAGTCAAAATTAAGCAGTCAGTCATTGGAAAGCATGCTTTTTTATTAGAATACTGTACACGGACACTGCTGAGAACATGCACTCTGTATACTTATGAAGAAAATAATAGCAGTTTAGAAATAAGTTAAGAGCACCAGCACCAGCAGCAAGCAATGTCTCTATTTTCTCCCTGGTAGAAATGATCAGCTTTCAAGAGTCAGAGTACCAAACAAGCCCCCTTTTACCCAGCAGATCTGTCATCTCTGCCTGTAGAGTCACTATTCATTTTACTGTCAGAAATAAGCAGCTTCTACTTTTAGACCAACAAAGCTGCATGGTTGTTGAAGAATGAGCAATCTTTTCTTCTGCCTTGTGCATAGTTGGTTGAATGACCGATCACATTCCAGCCCAAGAATCTTTAATCCTAATGGAAATGTGTGACAAAGAAAGAATGGACTTGGATTTTTCAGTTTCTCTCATTTCAGTTAACTTTTAGTGGAATTAAATGCTTTCTTCTAAGCTAAGTATGCAAGTGTCTCTGCCTCTCTTTCACATGTACATATGGACAAACAGCTTGCCTTTAGTGAGTCTGGTTCACAGGGAAGATAAATCTCAGTGACAGTCTTCTAACAGAGATGTCCTCTGTGTTTGTCATCTGCCTGCTTCTAACTTAAATTAGTTTCCTGAGGCAGATGGGTATCCATATGAAGACTATATGCTTCTACTGGATCTCTAGTCCATTTGCAGCTGCATCACTACAAAAGTCCTTCAGCTGAGGGATGTCCTCATCCCAGGTGGTCCTGAGCAGGTCAGATGTAAACGGTTCAATTTTCCTCTGAATCTCAGAACTTATTTAGGACTTTTTTTCCCACATCCCCAAGTGGCCAGTACATACCATCCACAGCACACCACTACATGAAATAGCCAAGGGAAGGGGCAGAGAGAACGAGGAGAGATATGAACTCTAGTGGGCTCACTGTGTGCCCAGGAATCCATTTCCTTACACTATTAACGCTACTAAACAAACTAAATTAAAGCAGCATCTCAGTGCCAGGCTTCCAATGATGAAAGCAGATGAAGCAATGGTCTCAGGTGGGACTCCTTATGGACGTCAAGGGGATTTAGATACTTAAGACCAGCGGCACATCTCTGGGAATTAAGCTCTAGTTGTTTCTTACAGTTTTGTTCACTTCTATACAGGCTTCTCAGAGAGTCCTTCAGTGAGAGCCTGGAGCCTAGGAATCATTTCCAAGCCTTCCTGCATGTTTAGTTGTTGATCTGGTTACTCTTTTGTGAAATGGTGAGCTTACGTTTAATTTCACCAAGATAAATGTATTAAGGATACTTGGGTACTCCACTCCACTTGGGTTCTCTACCACAGTGTATGACCCCATAATATATACTAGCCTGATACTATGTGGGCAAGAGGCAATCCTTAAGCAGCAGTACTTCACCATTGGGCTGGACCTTGGCTAACTTATATAGGCCAAWTTTTTTTTTCTAGAAAAACTGTGATTTCATTTGTGTCCTTGGTTCAGTTGACCCAGAAGAACTCCAAACAATTTAACCAGAAGTTTAAGCCACCCTTACTATGGACATTTGCCCAGGCAGAATGTTGTAMACAGGGAAGAAGAAAATTCCTTTAGAGCAGCTGGCACAGCATGGAATACTCTGTCCATGCTCTTGCAATACCAAAAGCAACGGTGGCAGTGCCAACAAAGATACAAATTAATTCCTGGACACTTTCTATTGTGGTGCTACAGAATGCAATGCCAAATGATTTTGCAAAAAAAAAAAAGAAGTGATCTGAATTTAGAGGCAGTTGAATAATTGGATGTCTGTAATAATAAAACTTGTAGGTGTTTTTTTAAGGTAAAAAGATAGCATACAATTGCATCTTAGGAGTCTGAGTGTGTGCTGATGATCTGCTAGTTTCAGGGAAGAAGTCTGAGAAAATCAAAGTTGAATGAGGCCCCTTTGTTCTTTAAATTAAAGCTTTTAATTAAGAAGATATATATTCCTTTGGGAGAAACTAGCTTGGAGAGGTATTTAAAACCCTTGCAAGTCTTTGCAGAAGTGGAAGAGTGAGTGCCTTGGGTTGATGCTAAATATTGACACGTGTAGAACAATGGTGCCCAGCAGCTGTCAGCCCGACATGTGATGGCAACATGAYAGAGCGGCCTGAATGCAACGGAAGCAGCTCTGGAACACCCTGCTGCAACAGGCTCATTAGTTCCTAATCCTTGAGGCAGGAGAATAGCCCTTCTGTACGGAGGACAATGGGGATCGTTGGGCTAATGTCTTTGGTGGCTTAGCATTCATAAGAAAACTATTGAATTCAATTCTCTTGCTGAAGAAGAAGGAGCTGTGGAAAGTCATGGCACAAATACACTGGGGGTGCTCCRGTCGCTCTTTGCCCAAGTTAAAGAAAACGCTGTGAATTGCCACAACAATATTGCAATGATTTTCAGCACAATGTGCTACTTATAATGCAAGTTTACATTCTGTTCCCTCTATGTTCTTTACTGGCTCTTTTCTATAGAAAACAAATTCATTTAGGTCATTCCTTTTCTTTTTCGTTTGAATGAGGGCTTCAAATTTTAGTGCTGGGATTGCTAAATCTGCCGTTCTCATTCACTAAGCCCCTTCTCCAGCATTTTCTGCACCCCACTTTGCAATTTCATAATGCATGTTTGTGACAGGCATATCAAACCATCCAGTTATTTTAAAATTGAGGTGAGAGAGTGCTTTAAATGTAAATTTTACTATGAACAGCAGAATAAARTCTTGCAAGCACTTCCTAGCTCTGCCAGGAAGCCAAGCTATATTTAACTCATTTTAAAATTCATCAAATACATTCTGGGTAGATTCAGATCTTCGGCATGTCTTTGAAGATAACATGTAGTGGAAGTGTCATATAGTCAGTCATGGGATTGAGCACATTCTGAGATTCTTGTCAGTGAAGACGTACAGTTAGGACTGGATTGTTGAAGGAAAAGTACATATAGATGTGACAACTTAATATTCCGACTTTATTTGAAGATTTGAACAATCTGTTGCATTCAGCTCAAGAGCTATTTAGGAAGTGCTGTATGTAAAGAGATTAGTGCCATACTAATGGTAAAATCCACATCCACTCCTAAATTTAAAAAAAAAAAAAGTTTCTTGCAGTGTTTGTAAGAGAAAAGCTAATAACATGTGGTTCTATAACAGTAATTTGGAGAAGTCTCTAGATGCTTGGAAAAGATATTAAGAATGATGGATAAAAATTTAGTTAGGGCTTATATGTACAAAGGGAGACGCTCTCAGAAATCTCTTCCTCCTCCTGTCTTCTTTCTTGGTTCCACACCTCCCTTACTCCCCACCCCAGCAACTTGTATCCCTGTAAACTCCATTGATCTTATTTAAAGGATTATATATAGAATGGAATAAATCTCAAATTTCATGCTTAGTTTTTTGCAGATGACACTAAAAGATCCCAGAAGATCATTTAGACCCTTTTATATCTGTAACCACTGTATATATGCTGCTATCATGCTCTTTTATGTGTGTTTTTGTTTTGTTTCTGTAAGTACAAATAGGAGTCTCCTGCCAGTAACATCTTTTGCTGTTCCCTATATTGAGATGTGACCTCACGTTGCAGTTCACATTATGAAGATTATGATATTACCTACATTCACTAAAATCATTAATTAAAAGAATGCTAATTGAGTATACCCTAACCAACAAACTGTACAGGAAATTGGARGTGTCATGTTTCTACTACACTCTATGCAACTTGATTGTGTTTTTCTAATGTTAATTTGCCTTTGATTTGTTGTAGTACATGACTGCTGCTGCACCTATGCAAGGGACCTACATTCCCCAGTACACTCCTGTGCCTCCAACAGCTGTCCCTATTGAAGTAAGTTTAAACCTATCCATGAAAACAGAGGGAAGGGGCAACACAACCCTTCTCGATTACATCTCCCTGTGCCTGTTGTTTGAAAGGGACCTAAAGTCACTTTATGGAATGGTGTATCTGTTTGCTTTTAAAAATAGGACTGCACTTTTCTTCTCTCTTTTTTGGTTTTTTTTTTTCTTTCCTACCCCCCCCCCGCTTTTATTGTTTATTTGTTTGTGTGTTTGTTTTGTGTGATATGCAAGTGCTCTTGTTTTGCATTTGTTTTGCTGTGCAGTAGGACACAGAATAAAACATCAGTGACTATGATTATTTTTTCCCCATGTATTCGGGAGGGAGATGGGAAAAGACAGGAAAAGAAACAAACAAACCATGAATCCAAAAGCAATTCCAAGAAGAGAAGCCTGCAGGAGGGTTTGATGTGATCATTAGCAAGTATAGGTAATTGCTGAAACATTTGGCCACCAGAAAAGTGATTGAGCAATGGAAACCTTCCTCTTGTATATACAGACGTGGAGGAGGATGCACTGACTGAGTGCTTTTTCATCCTTGAGGAAGGATTCGCTCCCTCCCTCCTTGGGGCTGAGTCATGCTGATGACAGTCTAATGAGTAAGTATTTACTCAACCCTGTAGACCACAAGCTACTGGAGAGCATCAGCTTGGTCTCCGCCACTGTGCAGCTCGTAAGGGYGGCTGAGCAGAGCAAGAGGGAGGCCTGGTGTTCCTCTTCAGTACATACTTCTCTGGTGCTTACCCTCTGTCCTTAATAGCTTCTCCTGAACTCTTGGAAAACATGAGGGTTGCCAGGCTCTCASTACTTTTTATCTTTGGCAGCACTGGCTTTGGACTCAATGTCGTGACTACCGTGTGCTTTGAGGATGATATGTTAGCAGTGTTGTTGGCATGGCTCCAAGTGGACTTGTCCTGGTTTCTCCTGATTCTCTGCAATTACCCAGATTCCCAAATGAGTTCCATCTGGAAAGACYGCCACTGTTCTCTCATACTGAGCTGGTCATGTTTTAGTCTTTTTTTGCTTGAGGATAGTTTTGCTCTAAATATTATTTGGTTACAAATGGGCCATGGATGCCTATTTTGAATAGCCATTGTAGGTATCCAACTGGGCAGATGCAAATTAAATTAAAAGGACATGGTGGCATGGAGAGGAGAGATGATGATTATTGTTACTGTTAGTCTGTATTTGTGTAGCATTATGAACCAGAACCCGAGTGTGCTACATGTTCCACCAAGAGAGACCAAAAATAAGGTCTCTGCACCAGAAAGCTTACACTTGCAAGGTGAGATGGACAATATCAGGGAGATAGAGAAAAAGAAGCAGACAGAAGAAAATGGTACWGCCAGCCTATTAAGTAATAGATATGCAGAGATATGTATTTTCATTTCCATTTTTCAAAAATGAAACTGATGCTTTTTCACAGATAAATTTAAAATAAACTACCTGTTGTTTACATAGGGCTCAAATGAAAACAAAGCAAGAGCTTTGTGCTCCCTCTTCTGGCTCTGTTGTGTGCAGTGCAGTAATCATCCGTGTGCCCCCCAGGGACCTGCTAGCTTTGTTCATGTGGTCAACACACCCAACACCAACAGGAAGGAAAAGGCTGCTTCCTTTGAAGCCTGCTAAAATACTTAAAAATAAGTATCAGACTGTCTAACAAGGATAAGAAATAGTCCACAACGTTCAGTTCAGCATATCAACTATTATTTAGGGTCTTTTTGTAGGAAAGCTTCATAACAGATTTATATTTGTGTGTAAGTAAATTTCCTTTTAAAAGGGAAAATACATAAAAAGTGCACACATGTGAGTTGAGTACTTTTTGAGGAAGGGTTGATTTCTGTATGATACGTAATAARGCGGAGAGTGGAGGGGCTAGATTCTTATTGCAAATCAGGCAAAATAAATGCAAAGTCACTGTGGAATTGGGGTAGACAAATGAAAATCAGCAAAGCCATAAACATATAGTAAAAACATGAGAGAAAACTCAGGCTCCACTGAAGTAAGCAGGAGTTTTGCCTTTGGTTTTGAATGGGTAGGGAACTACACTCAAATGTGTGGGTACTTTCTATTACTGGAAATTTTCATAGGTGTCTATATAATAAGAAAGCTACTGAGTGCTAGATTAGCGCTCTGCTTAAACTGATGATGTGTTTTGCATTAGCTTGTGGTTCTGCTATCTCAGACTCTCAGCCATGTGGTACATCTAGAGAAACAGGAATGGTGAGCTAGTGCTGAGCTCCTTCTTGGGCCTCACTGATATGAGTAAAATTAGTAAATTTTTCTGTTATTTGCTTCCCTAGGGTGTCGTTGCTGATACTTCTCCACAGACAGTAGCATCTTCATCACAGGAAGCCAGTGGTCAACAGCAACAGATGACCGTGGAAACATCCAGTGAACATGCGCCTGCATATTCCTACCAACAGTCTAAGTAAGTKGGCATGTTCTTTGTGAAGTGAAGGGTATGTCTCTTGAAAATAGACATATAGGGTAAAATACAATCTCCATTTCAACAATAAAATCCAGAGTAGCTTCATTAAATTCAGATGAGTTCTGGATATATAGAAATGAAACTGTAGGTTTCATTGGAGGCTGAATGAACATAGAGGTTTTGGCTGATGGCCTTAGTTTGACAAATTGCCTTTGAGTTTCTGCCTTCAACAATATGCTCTCTAAATGTGTTCTGCATATTCTGAACTCTGGAAGACTCAACAACTGTGTTAGCAATGACCATGCTGAGCTAAGCTGGCATCTGCTATCAGATACCATGAGGGCCTATATTTTGCATTGGTGAAAATATTGGTGTGTAACACATCTAAAGATGAGTTTCTGAAAGTATGGCTAGTGAAGCARTAGGAATTGCACCAGCTTGGTGTTCAGTGTGTGTGCACAACTGGTGCTGTGTAGACACTGAGGGGGTAGAAACTGGAAGGGGAGAAGGGATAACAAAAGGGGGAGGGAGAAGGACCATTCTTTCTCTCTTTTGTCCCCTGCTCACTTTATTTGCTTCCCATGGGATAGCTGGGAAAACTCAAGATCTAAACAGTGATGGTTGGACACAGAACATCTACAGAGATGATCTGTCTCTTCTTTAGAGTAATCCTCAGGCACCTCCTTCCTATGTCACACTAGAAATGGTTCTCACAAAAGACTAACTTGCTTAGGCAGGTGACTGAGTAATCACAGGGACTGGTACAGGTGGGATGGATTTTAGGAACTGTGCTCTGCCTCAGATCAAATCCTTTCTAGCAGATGTTCCTTGGTGGTGTCAGCACCACTACAAAAAGAGACTTTTTTCATTCAAAAAAAGAGAAAGTTAAAGAGAAAGTTTTCATTCTCAGGAATGGAGTAGGCAAATCGTCATACAAGAACATATGTTAAACATATCAGTCAGTCCCTCATAACATAGTACTTACAGTGCAAAAGGCATAAGATATGGCATAGAAAAGCTTAGAATTCTGACCATTCTGTCAGTTCTCTTAGTTTTTTTTTTTTTTTTTTTGGCCCCTGTTTGTCTAGTAGATGAATAACAAATGGCATTAGATCACACAGTCTCCCTTTTTGACTACCACAAATGGACATCACTCCCTATTTGTCTATATATGTATTTTACATATATCTATATATCTGTATACATATAGCCCTTTTGTTTTGTTTTTGGATATAACCAGTATTCTATTTTGGAGACACATTTTAYTTATGCATTTATATATGCACACCTTCTAACCATCAAGTCTCTCTAGTGTCTATAAAAAAAAACAGCAAAAAACTTACATACTAGAATGTGCAAAGAGACAAGTGTATATTACAGTACCATGCTGTTCCCTTGATGTGATGATTGCATTCTGAAAGGATTTGGAGCTGACCATTCCCATGGTCCAGTTCCCTTTCACTTCAGTATCAGAGCAAAGGCATACATGCAGAAGCCCTCATAGGTATCTGTGAGCAATTGATTCTGATATTTTTCTCACATGAAACTACATTGCAAATCTTTACTGAAATGAGTACTGTGTTTTTGGCTAGTGTTGTAAGTTCACAGCTTCTCAGAGAATGAGATACCTCATTTTTCCTTGTCAATTACTGCCTTGTTGCAATGATGGATACTGGTCTAACAACACTGGCATTAATAATCAGAGGAATTTCTTTTTTAATCACAAATGCAGATCCACTACAGATTTTTTATTATTACTTCCAATTTTTTAAAATGATGACTCCTGAATTGTGTCTGTCAGTTGTGGGCAAAAATGCAAAGTCTCAAAGGCTGTAGAAACAAGCAAAATCAAGTCTCTGTTAAAAAAACACTCATGCCTGAATATGTCATTAACCATTCATATAAAAGCAAAGGTTTTTTTCAATTGAGTTRTAATTTTATTAATCTCCTTTGCATAAGGTCACCTTTATCAATACCAAGCAGCACACAACATACAACAGGTATTTTCAAAGCAATAGGCAGGAAGTTATTAAAATKACCAGGTAATGATTTTATCAGACATAGACAAAGGAAAAGGCAGACACTGTAAAAGGATTTCTTACAAGTTGATTGGACAGGAGACAAGTTTTAACAGTGTATTTGACTGTATTTATTTTCCTTGCTACAGTCATGAAATTTCAGACAACAAAAGAGAGGGAACTACTCAGAATGAATTGAGTAGAATAAAGATTTTGTACTCCATACATGTATAAACCACACAACTTTTTACAAATCTACCTTTTTAGTCAGTATACATTCTTTTATTTAATATGCTGGCTGCTGCGATAGCTCCCACCCAGGGATGTTCAGAAGTGAAGCTTCAGGTCAGACGCTTGACTGTCAGAAGTGTGTAGCAAACCTCTGTTTCTGAGCTAAGGACGCTGAGGAAATTGCCTCAGTTATTTTGAGTATAGAATACCTCTTTCCCTTGCAAATCTTTAATTTTACACATAAAAGTGTGTGAAATCTTTAAAGTGTAGTTAAATGGAGCTCTCTACTCCTGGAAATTCCACTCTTGGACCCCTGAACAAAACTGTCTGCTGGATAGAGTGCTCTGCTTTTAAATGTGGGAAGAATTGAGTTTTTCTGGAGCCTTTTGTGGGCAAACTCCATGTCAGTTTGAAGAGCGTGTGCTGTGACCCTCTGATGGAAASAGTCTTTGATGTATGTGCTGCCCACTATGTGCAGAGGGGCACTAACAGCCCAGGAGATGAGCAGTCCAATTTGAGCAGTCTCACTGCATGTTATGCATAGAAAACTGCTTTAGAAAACGCTAAGTAAATACATAAATCTTGCTTCCAGATAAATCTGTTGCTAGGTTCAGAATATTAATTGTAATGCTTCATGCAATGAAAAAGTTCTTTGGTGATTTTAATATTTAAAATTGATGTCAGTTTAATGTTTACCATGCAGGAGAAAAAGATCTGTGGTGAATGCTTTAGGCCATCAATATTCCTCACAATTCAACTCCTAATACTAAAATACATCTAACAATAAGAAAGGCAAATGTCTTAATGTTTGCATTAAAGGAAAAGTGCTGGCTTTTCTTGTGTTGAGCATGAGTTGGAAGAGATTTTTTTTAAGTGTGTTTTTCTCAAAACACACAAGTTTGAGCTGCCGCAGGAGAAACAATAGCTAAGCCTCCTCAGTAGCTTTACACATAAGACTGTATTAAAAAGTATTTACAAGAAGAATCTTTCGCTCTCTCTCCCCAGAGATCTCATACAGTCTTGGCTAGGACAAATTTTATGTGATGCGTTGCTCAATTTTATTTAAACCTCAAAAATACAAAATGAGAGTTATCTCAAAGGAGCTGAACAAGCCTAGCTTCTTCTCTGTGCTAAATTTAGAACATTTTGACATTGTTTATTCAAAAATGAATATTTTTGTAATTAATAAAATCTTGAATGTTATTATGGAGTTAGCCATAACTGGCTCATTAAGCAAACTGCTCTGCAGTCCAACTGCTCCTGCCATCCGAAAATGTGTTCTTATTAGCAAATTGGATGTATCCTTCCATTGCAATTTTATCCTTCATTTTGTTATTAGTATCCAAAATAAACAGTGCCACTTAATATTATGAAAATATTCATTCTCTTATTGTATTACTCTTGAAATATTTACACAGTATTAAGCCACGTATTCATCTCGTTTCAGTRTAGTTAGATTGCCCATTAAACACAGTATTAACAAGAGTAAAATCATCTGCTTAGGATGTGCTAAAGTCTCCAAAGCAGAGTTCCCYGTTTCTGCCTATTTTCAGCTTAGTGGTGGTATGGTATTTAAACAGCTGCAAAGTTAGTTTAACTTGGATAAGTTTTAAAGGGAATTGGGTGGAAAGAAAGGAGAGGAGCCTATTTCAAAGTTGTTTTGACTTAATGACCACTTTAATTCAATTGTTTTCACAGACAATAAACAGGACTGAAGAATGTCGGTCTGAAATCTTTGCCTTGAATGGAGAAACTTCACTGAACAAGAAGTTGGCTTCCAGTTTGCACAGGCGTCAAATGAATGCTTTTTTTTTTTTTTTTTCCTACCTTTCCCAACGAAAACAAAACAGTGTTTTTATGTGCTGTGCAAATGGTTCCATCATGTAGTCTGACAGTTTTATTTTTGCTATATTTTTTTTTACCTAAAGAAAAAACCCAGAGGAAAAAGGCTGGGTTGACATTTCATCTGGACGAACATTTGAATTCAGAATTTACCTGGAGGTGTAGCTAGATTTTTTTTTTTAACAGAAAAACTGATGATGTCAAGAGGGAGCAAGTTGCGATGAAAACCAATTGTCTTCCTCAAAAATTAAGCTACTCTTTTTTCTCATTTTATTTTTCTTCTTGTTTTAAATCTAGAGTGGGATTTTTTTGTTCTTTTCATTTTTTTTTTTTTTAAGAAACGTTTAGGTAAGGTTTATCTTGAATCTTAATTGCCTTAATTTTAAGGACGTCAAAAGCTCTCAAGGCAAGCTGTCAACGTCTTGTTAGAAAACCCGAGAATGAATTGAGACTGCTCACACCGGTGCTGGTGCAGAAGTTTAATAGACTGAGTTTTTGGGGTGAACAAAAATAAACTGTACAGTTTAAAAGAAAATGATTTTCTTCTTTTGAAGAAAAGTTGATGATAAAGGAACTGTGGCAACTGAAAGGATTGGAAAAATGCTGGGACTTTTATGAACTTTGTCTTAAGTGTTGACAGAAAAAATTCTAGAAGGCTAAAGCATTTTACAGTAAAGTTATTGAATTGAGAAAAAAACTTGCTGCATTATAGAGAATGCAGGGTTTTTTTTCTTGCAGAATGCAGATTTTTTTATTTACAAAGCGTGATCGCTAGCAAAAGCATTAGTGCTTTTTATCTGCAGTCTTTTTTATGAGCTTTAAGAAGTTTTTAGTCTGCTTTGCTTGTCACATTGCAAAAACCTAGCTTAAGAGCATTAAAAAAAAACTTAAGTAGATAGGAGCTTATGGTCAA